AATCACCTAATCAATGTGTCGGTTAACCACACACGCTCCATTGATCTATGATTAACATCAAGCTACCCTTTGCCACACATTGTCAGTCCTAGATTAGTGTGTCGGTTAACCACACACGCTCCACTAACGACTTAACAAGGTGCAAAGTGTAATTTCATGGATTAGCACCATTTTCACATTTTCCTAAAGTAACTAAGATTGGGAATTTAATAAAAGTTTAGTTACTTTATATTTATCATTATACTTTTAACGAGAATTAATGTCCTATCCTACCCGTTCCACTGACGACCCTCCACTAGTCAAGGAAGCCGTGGGTGAGAGTGGACACCCATTAAACCACCATTTTATAGGAAGTAACCTTATACCCCCCTTATAGACCAGCTTTGTGAATGAGGCCTACTAACGGTAAGACCGACTTGTCTTATATATATATAAGATATATATATATATATATATATATATATATATATATATATTATTAAACTTATAATACTATAAAGTATAAGGGTTGAATTTTAACTTTTAAAACTCTAGGGTTTGGAATTAAAGTTTCATTAGAGAGACTCTACAAATTCCAAAACTTGAGGGCAAGTTTTGAAACTTGTCAAAACTCTTCATTTCTATAGCTTATGAGTTTAATTGCATTTTAATGGATGAGACCTTTCATTTTCCATAACTTGAGGACAAGTTATGGAGGTCATTAAAAGCATTAAAATCATCATTGTAACTAACAAAAATTATCAAGTAATTTATCTATGATCTAGTTAAACTCATAGGTCAAGATAATTCAGATCAACAATTTTAAGAAATTAGCCTAATCATATAAACTAATACAAATCTTGAAATTTTGACAATTATCTTTTAATTGGATGAGCATGGTCATTACCATATCAAGAAAACAGATTATATGTTTCAAAAAACAGTTTGTGGTAATGATCCAAATCCAATTCTGGCCAAAAACACGAAATTCTACACCCAGACCCATCAACTCGGCGAGTGCATGAACATGAATCGTCGAGTTGGTCTTTTACTAAAGGACTCATCGAGTCAGCCATTGGACTCGGCGAGTTCATCAGTCAGAGGCCAAAAAATCGATTTTTTAACTTTAGAAAGCAATAAGCATCAAGTATAACAGAAATCAATCCTAGGCTCTGATACCACTGTTGAGTTTTGAGCACTATAACACTCCTATGGTGCACATGCAACCCTAGACGCTTTGGATCTATGTTTTCTCTAATTATACATGCATTTTCAATTTTCCAAAGCATACATCCTAACTAGTATACAAATTAACAATTGAACAATACAACTAGTTAGATAACTTACCGCTTAGTAGGACTTGTAGTTCTTGCCCTTTGAAAGCTTAAGCACCTCAAGTGTGATGCCTCTATTATGTCACAAACACCAAAATGCAAGAGGAGGCTTGAGAGAATAAGTTACTTAGAACAAAATCAATATCAAACTCTTAGAATGATGTGGTAGCCGATTTTAGATCTAGTGGAGTCCTTTTATAGTGTAGCAAATGCTAGGGTTACACCTTGCAAACCCTAATGACCTTTCATATTACTTAGGCTCCATGGGTTAAACCTCCATGGATTATCTCATTGGTTTAGCCCATCCTAAATAACCATGGATCATTAGCCCACACTATAAGAATCATTGATTTACATAATCAATCCCCACATATTTAATTAGTCTCTTTTGATCACAAAATCAATTCCAAATTAATTCTTGATCAATACTAATTAAATAATATGATTAATATATTATACTTATAATATATTAATAAATCATAAATAACCTTATTCTCAAAAGTTCATCCTATCAAATTGCACTGGTGAAGGCAACCTAAAAGGACCATGCTACAATCGGGTCAAGTACATCCTGGTTATAGTTATGGGCTTAGACACCAAATCCCACATAAACTTCGTGTTTCTTCAAGTCTAGACACGATATGTTGGTTCCTCCAACACGCCGTGTCCAACCCTCAAAAGGGGATTTACTCCCAACAATTGCTCCTCAAGATTTCGGGTGTTACACCTTTTGGGCACTTTGAGTAATGACTTGGTTTGTTTCCAACTAACTAGCTAAGTGGTTGAGTAAAGATTACACAATCATGCACATACCCTCTTATAGAGTTGTAGCTTTCTAGGAGAGGTGTGCATGGAGTGTTGAATTGTTTAATGCTTTCATCAATGCTTGTAAGAAAATCCTTACTCTTCCATTTTATTGTCTTGACTTTTGTACATACTTGGATGTATAAAAGAAAGGAATTTCTAGCATGAAAGAGTTGGTTCTTTTGCTCACAAAATCCTCTCATTTAGCTGCCAAATTTCTGAGGATTCTCTCATCCTCCCTCTCCTCTTTGTCTTGTAATTTGGTGCAAGATACAAGTGTTTTTATTTTCTTCTCTTTAAGGTTTATTTGGTATAAATCTTAAAGATTAAGAACAACATATATACAAGTGAAGACTAGCATCTTTGGTGGTATTTCTTTGCTTGGTGGATATCTCTAGAGAGCTTCTACTTTGGAGCTTATTGTCATCTTCATCAACTTCTTAATTGCCACAACGAACCAAAGACTTCAAAGGTTGTAATCTTTTCCTTTTCTATGGTTGTCTTAATTTTTCCTAAGTTTTGAAAAATGATCCCTGGGGGGTAAAATTGTTTTACTTTATTCAAATAAAAAAAAATTTGTTACTAATTACGTCGAATTTTTCACTATAATTATACTATTTTTTAATAAAAACATAAAAAACACTACCCCTCTATCTCATCTCTCTCTTTGAACTCATATCATTCTCTCTTTTACCGCTCCTACTCTATGACGACTTCGTTTTTCTGCCATCGGACACCATGTGTTTTGCCATAGGCCACCACCTTCCTAGTCGAATATGCCATCTTCATCACCAATACCACCTATCACCGACATAATTGAGAAACTATAGGCAAACATTGTTATTCTAGACCTGCAACAACGATGTCAAGGAAGAGGGCTTGATTTTTCTCCACCATATCCATCAGAGGACACAACTTCATCTCAATGTTTTGCCATCAAAGGTTTCTAATATATATATATATATATATATATATATATATATATATATATATATTATGATTCAAAGGCTTCTTTGATTTAGTTGTTAATAGAAGTCCCCTGATATATGATGTTTCAATTAAAGAATGGAAAAGTTTCAATCGGTAGTTTCTATGAAAATATTATTCTTTGTTGTTTTATTTCAAGGCCAAATAAAAGTTTTAAGAATCACCATATATTATTTCTTTTGAATTCTGATCACAATGCCTTTTTTATATATAATTCTATCAATCTCATTAAAATATAAGATTTATACTTGGAATTTATGCTTTTGGTTTTCTAAACCAAAAGAGTTTCAGTTTATTACTTTTTATTTTTATGGTCATTCTTATATGAATTACATATTTACTAATATAATATATTTTCATTCTTGAAAGAATGTCATATTTGCACTTGTTTTTTCTCTTTCATTTATCATTTTCATGAGAATGTTACTTTGTGCATTTGTAATTTATGTTCTATTAGTTAAAGAATGTTGTTTGTTACTTCAAGAAAGTTAGTATAATAATTATATGTACAGGTAGATTTTGTCAAGAATGTGTTACATATTCTGTTAAAGATAAAACTGTAAAATTGGACCATATGGTATTTAAAAAACTGTGGATATAGTCCAAAAGGTTCTCAATTTGGATGGAAGGTCTAAAATCAGAAATTTTTCTTGGTTTTGGTCCCTGAAGAACTTGAAATGTCGTCTGCTTTGCCCTTTTAAGTTCTATTTTGCATTTTTTTTATATTTTCTTTAATACTTTATTAATTAAAAATTAAAAATAAAAGAATTGGGCCCCTCTCTCTCAAAATTGAAAATCAAACTGCCATTCCTAGTTTTGTTGATCACTCTCTCTCTCTCTCTCAAAATTGAAAATCAAACTGTCATTCCTAGTTTTGTTAAGGGTTTAGGTCATTTTTGGTCACTTAACTTTTGGTTTTGTGCTCATTTGGTCACTTAACTCTTTTTAAGTTTTAAAAGGTCATCAAACTTTTGAATTTGTGCTCATTTAGTCACTTAACTTTTAGATTTGTGCTCATTTAGTCACCTAACTTTTAAAATTGTGCTCATTTAGTCACTAAACTTTTGAAATAATTTTAAAAGTTTAGTGACTAAATGAGCACAATTTTAAAAGTTAGGTGACTAAATGTGACCAAACTAAAACTTAAGTGACTAAATGAACACAAAGCCAAAAGTTTGATGACCTTTTAAAACTTAAAAAGAGTTAAGTGACCAATGAGCACACAACCAAAAGTTAAGTGACCAAAAATGACCTAAATTCTTTTGTTAATAAGCAAATCGATCCATCCTACTCTTTTCCGGCGCCGATGTTTTTTCTAGTAGCGTTTTGACTTTGTCTTGTTCCCATCCTGACCCCTATTTTCTTCTCTACTCTTGTATCTTGTTTTCGTTCGTTTTTATGGGGGGTGTCCCTCCAGATCACATGATCCTGATGTTTCTACATCATTTGAAGGAAATTTGGATAAATCAAAGTTAGGCTCAAAATCGGTTACTGATTTCGCTTCGAATCTTCCTTCTGGTTAAGAAATTCAATCCAGTGTCTGTGTGTCAAAATAGACATTTCAAGTTCTCTAGGAACCAAAACCCCAAAAAAAAAATTATTTAAGACCTTCCACGCAAGTTGGAAACTTTTTGAACTTTATCCACAATTTTTTGAATACCAAAGTAACTAATTTTGCAATTTTGTCTTCATTTAAACAAAAAATAAGAATGAACCGAATTTTGTCTTCATTTAAACAAAAAATAAGAATGAACCGACAATAGATTAAAAATGGAAGTTCATCCGAAAAGTTGTTGTTTTAACTTTTAACCAACCAAAATAAAAAAAGTTAGGACTTTTCCAACTACCCCTGTAAAACTTGGGACTTTATTACATATTTTAAGATAATTTATTTTTCTTTAGTATGAATATTTAAATTTTGTTATCAAAATCTGATACAACCCCCAACCAAAAGAGAGGGCTACGGTGTCTGTCCACATAACCATCCTACAAAAATGGAGCTAAATACGTGGCACAACAACAAAAAGAAAGGTAGAAAAGAAAATACAAACAATATGGATTTACATTTCAGAAAACACAAATTAACTTGCAATAGTCACAAAAAAACATCTGATTTATTTTGCTGTAACCAAAAGTTCATCATGATCCACACAAAATAAACACAATCACATAAATGGGGAAACAATCTAACCCTTGTTTTTCTCAATGGAAACCGGTAAATCCTTGGTGTCAGGCGACTCTGCATACGATATAGAGATCAAGTCAGCTCTAAATTTCTCTCTTTCATCAGAATTTACAGCTTCTTCAACATTCTTCACGCTCTTTGAGCTTTTTGTGACGTCTGTTGAAGAAAGATTTGTATCTGGTAGAGTATAAGATAGTGCGATTAATGACTCCCTTGTCAGATCCTCAGAAACGTCACTTCCAAATTCTCTCTTAGCCATATAACAGCAAATCCTACAATAATATATCACAAAAGGGATCACCCAAAATCAAAACAAATAAAAACTGGTTTTCACTTTTTAGCAAAATGCACAAAATTTATAACGTCAGTAACCTACAGACTACAGTGTACAAGTATTACCAATAAATCAATATCATATCAAGAAACTAATAGTCATGGCAAGGAGACTTCAACTTCATCTTCCTAAATTGTTATATACCAACAGAAGATTACAGAAACCAGACTAAAGCTCATGTGTGAAGCATCATAGACCATCTGGTTCTGGTGTGGCTTCATAAGACTTTGCCCATTGAACTTACCTGAGAAAAGATTCACATTGCAATGAGCTTTGTTCCCTTCGTCACCAACATGCTGACCTCCATTACTGATTGAAGCTTGGACTCCTTCACAGCAACTCATAATCCCTTTTTTATTGTTTGCATAATCAACTGTAGGAAAAGAAAGTTTGGAACTCAAGACTGCTTAATTTACCTCTATTGAAACCTATGGTAACCTCTATAAGTAAAACCCTAGCGCAAAGTTCAGCAAAACGTTTCTCGACAAATCAAATTCTACAAATCCACAGTTCTGTCCCAAAGTGTATTCGATGTGTCATCAGCAAAATATTGCCGAATTATGGATGAAATCGATGTGGTTTATTGCGACTAGTTTTTGATCATTGTGCCTAAAACGAACTTGTTCTTGCAGTACATCATTCATAGCAATTAAAAACCCTAACAACAAAATTACCAACAATACACTTATACAAAGCGTTTGTAATCGTCAATTCACCGCAAGCAATTCAATATAACTACTCGAATCAAAGTAAATGAAATTCAAACTCGAGTCCGATGAAGTCAATGGGAAATTTTGCACAAACTAATCAATTTATTACCCGGTATAAAAAACATGCAAGCGACGGATCGATCATATTCATGTACGGATCATATCATACGAAAATTAAAGAAAATTATTTAGATCAAAACTCGAAGAATTTGGACAAGACTCTTCTGGTAGGTACCTTGTGTGCGATTTGGTTCCTTTCGTCCTTGGTTTTCGGGTCCGAAGCTGCTTCTTTTGGAATCGTCAACGTTCTTCAAACTCTTGTATAAATATAGAGTTTTATTTAGATAAGATTGTGACGTGTAGCATAGAAAAATTAACCAAACATAAATTATCTAGTGTTAATTTTATTTTAAAAGTTTTTTTTTTTTTTTTTTTAATTTCATTAATTTATCCTTAACATATTTAGAACAGAGTGTGTATAAGAGGTTTTGGTTGTATTAGAGGTGGTTAATGAATTTTTGTAGCTATAGTTAATATTTTTTTAGTTAATGCTTTTGTCGTTAATGGATATAACTAAAGGTTAATATTTGTTAATTATAATGGTCGAAAATGAGATAAAAATAAAAAATACTTTGATATAAAAAATGAAAAAAATAAAATACATTGTTAAAAAAATAAACAATTTAGTTTTTAAAATTATATTAATATGATTGAAGATTTGGTATCTCGTTTAATTCCAAATAATTACCTTTTAAAGTTTCATTTTCAAATATAATTACATACCATATATTTAATATTATATTATATTAAAAATATTATTAATATTATTAGTTCGGTCTGGTGTTTAGTGACTCGGTTTTCGATGAAAATCATAACCGAACTATATGTAGTTGGTTAATCAAAAACAGAAATTGAACCATCTTTTTTAGTTATGGTTCGATTATTTCGGTTAATTTGGTTTTGGTTTAGTTTTTCGGTTAAAAAATTAAATATTATCATATATTTTTTCCTATATATTCACATACTCATCTTAAATTGTGACATGTATCACATAAGTATATATTAAAATTTTATTATTATTAGTAAATATGACATATATCATCATTTAAGATGGATGTAAATATATGTAGAAAAAAATGTAGGGAAATATTTAATTTCTCTTTCGGTTAATATGTCACCCCTAATTTAAAATGTTTTATAAAAATTCTTTCTAGATACAAATTATATTTTAATACGAAAATGTAAATATAATTATAGTGGATCTTTATTTATCTATCTAAAATACAAAAAATTATTATTTTATAGTTATAAAAGTATTAAAAATATTATATAATCATTATAAAATATTTAATAAAGAGAATCAAATAGTAAATAACTAAAAAATATTTAAAATTAAAACATAATTGAAGGGTAAAATGAAATATGATTAGAAAATTAGGAGTTAACTATGTAAAACATGAAAGTATATTGATCACTCAATATATATTGAGTGGCCAATAAAAAAACAAATAAACTATATATTTCAATGGGGTTAGCTCAATAAAAAAATTAATAGTAACAAGTCATAAAAAAATCCTTTAGTAGAGATACTTGTAACATCCCGTTTATTAAATAAATAAATAGATAAAACTAATAAATGAATAGTAGCCCTAAATGCGGAATAAGTTAGCAAGGCGTTGTTGTTGGGGGTTAAAATGTAATTTCCGAATTAGTTTGTAAAGAATTTTGGAGGTTGAGGGTGGTTTGGTAAATTCTGGATTTAAATTGAAATAAAATCTTGAAGAGAGGGGCTGAATGGTAAAATATTGGATTAAAGTTGAAAAGATTTTATGTAGACAGGGGCTAAAGTGTAAGTTTTGGATTTAAATTGAAAACAAATATTGCGGGGAGGGACTAATAATGGGTAAACGAATTAAAGTTTGAAAGATCACGGGATATACCCGGTGACCCTCCTTTCTCGTCTTAAGGTTAGCCCCCGAAACCCTAGCACATCCCTTCCCAGCCGCCACCATCTTCCTCGGGCCTTCTCAGCCGTCATCTCCACGCCATAGCTTGAACCACCGCTACTCTGATTACCGGCAAATTAGAGGTCGCAAACCACCAGGTCGATACCACCGCAGCGGCTGCCGACGACAACGGGTTTCGCTGAAGACCAACATCAGGGCAGTGTCGTTGTCGCTCTCGGACGTACCCTCTCTTCTTCTTCTCCTGTTTCACCTTCAGCCACGTTGTCGGTGTCGTTAGGGCCGTCGAACGCCGCCACTCCAAGCAGCATGTTTAGTAGAATGGGACTTCTTTAAACATTTTTGGCGGAAGGATTGAAGGAAAACCACCACCACCGCCGTAAGGTGGTGGCTGTCACCATGTGCCGCCGTCGACCACCACCACCCGAGGTGGCAATGGGTGGTGCTCGACCTAATGAAGCCCTAATTGACCTAAAAGCCTAACCGTTTGACTAATTGGCATATGCTTGGGTTAGAAACCCTAATTAGGGCTTAGAAAACCCTAATTTTGGAAAATGTTAGTTTTGGATTGTCGGGACACGCGTTTGGACCAATGGACTGAAGTTGTGACTTATGCCGATTCCATTGTATGTTGGCCTAGTGGGGTAATGGACTTAATGGGTTAAGTGTGAACACTTAACCCTAATCGTCATTTTATGTAAAAACCCTAATTTGGTTTGGGCCTTTTGTTGGGCTTTGGTGATTGGGCTATTGATGTGTTGGGTTTTAAGTACTATAACACTCCTATGGTGCACATACAACCCTAGATGCTTTGGATCTAAGTTTTCTCTAATTACACATGCAATTTTATTTTTCCAAAGCATACACCCTAGCTAGCATGCAATTGGAGATATACAACATAAAACAAGGTTATATCAATACCTCTTAGTGTAGCTTGTAGTTCTTGGCCTTTAAAAGCTTTAGCACCTCAAATTTGATGTCTCTAATGTGTTACAAACACCAAATGCAAGAGGAGGCTTATGAGAGGGAGGCTAGAAAGCATCAAATCGGTTATGGTTCACCTTTTGAATGCACAGCCGATTTTGGGGGGTTAAGGGGTTACTTTTATAGTATGGAAATCCTAGGGTTTCTTCCATGCAAACCCTAATTCACCATGACCCTTCATATTTCTTAGGCCCTTTGGGTTAAATCTTCATGGACTATCATATACGTTTAGCCCATGCATAATCAACATGGATCATTAGCCCAAACTATAAGTATTAATGATTTACTTAATCAATCCCCGTAAATTTAATCAGTCTCTTTTGACCACTAAATTAATTCCTAATCAATTCTTGATCAATACTAATTAAATAATATGATTTCTCAATTAATATATTATTCATGTAATATATTAATAAATCACAAACAACCTCCTTCTCAAAAGTCCATCCTATCAAATTGCTCCGGTGAAAGCAACCCAAAAGGACCATGCTACTATCGGGTCAAGTACATATCAATTATAGTTATAGGCTTAGACACCTAATCCAATAGTCTCCCAGTTGGATAAGTCTAATAACTATAACTGCCAATGTAACTTCAAAACCAATTAGCAATCGTAGCTCTCAAAAGCCGCTGTCGAACTCTGACCTAGTCAGTGACGTGTCCTTTAGATAATGGATCATATAATCCTCTGTTCTACAAGATATCGTGTGGACAAAGACATGGAATAAGTTCATACTCATTGTTCAGTTGTTTGTTTCCCGATTTCTGATTCGTTTGACATAGAACTTAATTGAACACATCAATTGAGTCCTGACCGGGCCCGACACATAAGTCAAAACAAAATCATCGAGGGGCCCAAGATATCGCTTTTGATCCTCTTGGGATAAAATGAACAGATAAACTTTGATTTATATTCTTGTACTAACTTCTCGTTAAATCATACACAAAAATACGTTTTATAACATCAAGTTACTGATGCGGTTTCATACTATCAATGCACAACCAACTCGTAGTCAACAACTCATATATCTTGGTTTGAAGACTATATGATATTATCGTCTCACAATCACTCGTGATAAATTCCATGAAGTGATTCATGTGAGCATGGGTTTAATCCAATACTCAAATCTTATTTCAAGAGCACTCATGAATGTTGTAGCAACCTTTTGATATGTCTAGACACCTTATATAATCTACAAGCCAATTCATGACAGTCTAGCCTCATAACCTACTTCCAAAGTATGATTGACTGTGGATAGTTTGAATAATCTTATTATTCTGGAAGTCAAAACTGTTGGATTAGGTGTCTAAACCCATAACTATAATTGGTATGTACTTGACCCGAAAATAGCATGGTCCTTTTGGGTTGCCTTCACCAATGCAACTTGATAGGATGGACTTTTGAGAATAAGGTTATTTGTGGTTTGTTAATATATTACAAGTATAATATATTAATATGAAATCATATTATTTAATTAGTATTGATCAAGAATTAATTTGGAATTAATTTAGTGATCAAAAGAGACTAATTAAATATACAGGGACTGATTTGGTAAATCAATGATTCTTATAGTGTGGGCCAACGATGCATGGTTAATTAGGATGGGCTAAACCAACATGGATAGTCCATGGAGGTTTAACCCATGGAGCCTAAGTAATATGAAGAGTCATGGTGCATTAGGTTTTGCATGGATGTAAGCCTAGCACTTGTCACACTATAAAAGGAACTCCCTAGAGCTAAAATCGGTTGCCACGTATATTCTTGGAGAGTGTGAATCGATTTTGTGCTAAGCAACTTATTCTCTCAAGCCTCCTTTTGTACTTGGTGTTTGTGACACATTAGAGTCATCACATTTGAGGTGCTAAAGCTTTTGAAGGCCAAGAACTACAAGTCCTATTAAGAGGTAAGTTATCTAACTAGTTATTTTGTTCAACTGCATGCTAGTTAGGATGAATGCTTTGGAAAAACAAATTTCATGTATAATTAGAGAAAACATAGATCCAAAGCATCTAGGGTTGCATGTGCACCATAAGGTTGTTAAAGTGCTCAAAATCCTTCAGTGGTATCAGAGCCTAGGATTGTTTTCTGTTATACTTGATGCTTATTAATTTTCCAAGTAGAAAAAATCGATTTTCTGGCCTCTGACTGATGAACTCGCCGAGTCCACTGGCTGACTCGACGAGTCCACTCAGTAAAATACCAACTCGACGAGTCAGGTTCATGCACTCGTCGAGTTGATGGCTCTGGTTCCAGAATTTCGAGTTTTTGGCCAGAATTGGATTAGGATCATTACCACAAACTGTTTTTTGAAACATAAAATTTGTTTTCTTGATATGGTAGTGATCATGCTCATCCAATTAAAAGATAATTGTCAAAATCTCAAGATTTGTATTAGTTTATATGATTAGGCTAATTTCTTGCAAATTGTTGATATGAATTATCTTGACTTATGAGTTTAACTAGATCATAGATAAATTATTTGATTATTTTGTTAATTAAAATATTGATCTAAATGTCTTTAATGAATTCCATAACGTGTCCTCAAGTTATGGAAAATGAAAAGTCTCACTTTTAAAAGTCATTAATCTCATAATTTATTGAAATGAAAAGTTTTGAAGAGTTTCAAAACTTGCCCTCAAGTTTTGGAATTTGTGAAGTCACACTTATGATACTTTAATTCCAAACCCTAGAGTTTTAAAAGTTTAAAATTCAACCCTTATACTATTATAATATTAAAGGTTTAATAATTATATATATATATATATATATATATATATATATATATATATATGTATAAGACAAGTCAGTCTTATCGTTAGTAGGTCTCATTCACGAAGCCGGTCTATAAGGGGGGTATAAGGTTACTGCCTATAAAATGGTGGTTTAATGGGTGTCCACTCTCACCCACTGCTTCCTTGACCGGTGGAGGGTCATTAGCCGAACGGGTAGGATAGGACATTAATTCTCGTTAAAAGTATAATGATAATTATAAAGTAACTAAATGTTTTATTAAATTCCCAATCTTAGTTACTTTAGGAAAAATGTGTTATTGATGCTAATCCATGAAATTGCACTTTGCACCTTGCCAAGTCGTTAATGGAGTGTGTGTGGTTAACCGGCACATTAACTTGGACTAGTACGGTTGGCAAAGGGTAGCTTGATGTTTTGTCATAGATCAATAGAGCGTGTGTGGTTAACCGACACATTGATTAGGTGATAAATGACATCGAGTGTATGAAGCACATTTGCATGGTTATTCACACCTTGTTTCTGATCCTCGGCATTCCAGTCACAAACTTGAAGGGCGTAATCAAGATTTAAACATGCCATTGAAAAGTTCAATGAATCTCAAAGGAATCTAGGAATTTCAATCCAATTAAAACTTAATAATCAATTTCATTTTTCATGGTGGAAATTGGTAAATTGTCATTTACCTACCTTCAAATATTTTGCAATTGGATTACGACATCCCACTTCCAAATTGTAAAATATTGTGTTGGGTCCTGGCCTTAATATTTCATTTGGGTGTTATATTAAGGACTCTTATCTAATCTAAACTTTGTCTTTGTTTTTTCAGATGTCTTCCAACACTGCTTCTGGCTCAAACCATACTGGCTCTTTCTCCCTAATGAACTTGTGTGGGAGAGTTATCTTTGATGGTTCAAACTTCAATGATTGGATCAGGAACATCAGGATGGTTACTCATTACGAGGACAAGGAAGATGTCATCGACAAAGAGCTTAAGGAAATAGATGAGTCTTATGCTAGTCCTGAGGAGATTGCTAAGTTTAGGACTCATGAGAAGGATGCCACCAAAGTGTCTTGTATCATGCTGGCCACTAGCTATGACAGCTGAACTCCAAAAGTCATATGAGGACTTCTACCCTTTTGAGATGCACCAAAACCTGATGTAAAGATACCATCAAAGTGCTCGTCAAGAGAGGTATGAAATCATCGTCTCCATGATAACAACAAAGATGAAGGATGGGGAATCCATCACATCCTACTTGCAGAAAATGCAAAGGTTTGTGGACCGCTTACTGAAGTTGAATGTGAACTTCGATGAAGAGTTGGCCATAGATATTATTCTACACTCTTTACCTCCATGTTATGATCAGTTCCGTATTACCTATCATATGAACAAGGAGGAGGTCACTCTTAGCAATCTTCATGGCCTTTTGAGGACTGCTGAAAGTAGTCTCAAAGGTAAATCTCTTGTTTCTGTTCCTACTGCTACTGCCCCTGTCTTGGCAATTGGACATGGGAAAGGGAAGAAGAGGAAGGCTCCCTATAAGAGCCGCAAGGGAAAGTCTCTTGATGGATCCT